GTCATATCATATTCTTTTTGGTGGAATTGTCGATGAAGCAAACGTATACCTACTATAACAAACGACTACTATACTTTTATTTTTCGAATTAATTATTGTTTTCGGGACTACCAGTAAATCAGTAATATGAGATGTATTCACCCAATTTCGCTTAAGGTGATGAAGGACTGGTAGAAGAAGAATTTTCCCACAATGATATGAGTTGAGCTGACGTTTTATAAGACCTATTTGAGGTCGAAACTGCAGTCCACCCTGGATGAGAACAACTTTTGGGAAAGCAAAGCTATGTGAAATTGAATGGAAACATTGGCTCAACTGATATCATTGTGGGAAAATTCTTCTTCTACCAGTCCTTCATCACCTTAAACGAAATTGGGTGAATAAATCTGATATTACACGGGTTTAATTAAGAAGAGGAGGGGTGAGGGCAAAGTCTACTATTCGCAAGCATGGGAATCAGATCCTAGGCGTTCTACAGATGAGGCGACTTTGTACGCGCTACTTAATACTTGAAAAATAGTATGTAGAAAAACTGGGTTTCAAGAATCGCTTAATAGGTTGATGTTGTCGCACCTTACATTTCGTTTGAAGGGGCGAGTGGAAAGGCTTCGTAAGTTGGTTCCACCGGAAACTGTGGGGATTGCATTGGTGTAATGAGTATAGATTTGTGCGAATAGATCCTCGGCACACCGTCCTGCGAACTCGATGAATCCTTGCTGAGCTTTGATCCGCCATGCGACGGATATCGTCAGAGCAGGACACCATGCTTAAGAATAATTATCCAAAAATACGAAGGAAGGAAAGCTGACCGGCTTCAAACTTACCTACTACTTAAAGTCCAATTTGGTCCACTTAGGCACCTCATGCTTTGGTTGGATGTTCTAACTAACTACGCTTCGCCGGCATTGTGATCGGCACCATCAGATATTCTTGTCATTTTCAGCACCAAGCTACAACTCGCCAAAGAGATAAGTGAAATGAATGTGAAGAAAAATCGGGTTTAGAAGACTTTCTTAGTTAAATATTGTGGCATGACTCTCCATTTCGAAGGGAAAGTTGATAGGAAGGAATTCATGATATGGTCACACCAGAAACCGAAGGAGGATTGCCGCGTGGGGAGATTGCTAAATTGTGCGAAGAAGTCCTTGACTCACCGTCGTACGACCCCGACGAAGCTGTGCTAAGCTTTCGTCCGCACAGACATCATCAAAGCAGGTATCTATACTTCATGAAATAGAGAAAAAATATACTAAACCAAGAAAAAAGGTTGCTGGCTGCAACCCTAGTCGTTTTTTTAATACGACTTACTTTGCGATCTTAATGAAGCATCCTGTGATTTGGTCGGCTCCTTCAACCTTATTCTCTACATGCTTGCAAAGGAGTGAAGTCAACTTCCTTAACCGGAAGTGTGTTCGGTGGCAGTTGTTTCATTACATAAAAACTAACGTACAATCGTCTAACATTGAATCATGTTTGGGCTTGTGCTATTGTCTATTGTGTGTATCTAATGTTCATGTCATGGGAAGTGTGATGGACTCGAGGCTAATCCAGTCTCCTTCTCTTGCTCAGTGGCTCTTCCAGCACCCACTCTCTCTCCATTTCCTTAAGTCTATCCAACAACCACAAAAAGTTCCTACTTAGTTTCCACACTCGTTCCTCCTCTTCAGGACATTGGCTGTTTTGTTAATTTCTATAGAATCCCTGATTTTACGCTTTGACCTGAAGACCCGTAATCCGCAAAACGTGTTTTGGATAAGTCTATTGAATGTCCTGTATTGACCATGTGTTCAGCGAGCTCAGACTTTTGTCCCGTGCAACCTGAGCAAGCTATTGACGCCTATCCCTAGTCGCCTGCTGCATTTCATTTTGGCCGTAACCATTGTGCCTATCCGTCCCCTCAGCTTCGTGGATGCCAGGCCCCCAAAGTCGTACTGGTTTCTTCGAGCAGACTTGACTTAGTGAGAACGTCTTCGCTTGATTTCCGGCATCGTATTCTGCAGCATCGGTGAGTCTTGCCATTTGAAGCACTAAGCTACAACTTGTCAAAAATACAAGACAGTGGCTAAATGTCAGAGAATATACCAATTCCACAGTCTGATGCTTGGAATTAGGATAACTAATATGGTAGAGGACTTCTGACAAGGTGCATTCAACTAAGCCACCCTGACAACAAGCCCTATTTACATGAATGAGTTAAACCCACTTCTATAAATCTAAAGGAGACTTTCACCATATCGACGGCCACAATACCTTGGTCATCATATCTTCCATTAAACTAAGCTAGTTATGTTGCCAGACAATGCAGTGAATACAGCCTGGCAAAGAACAAAATTGCAAGTCACTCTTTCTATCTGACCTAAGTAAACTGTTGTAAACATTATGGTAACACTCCGGATTTCTGTGACCTTAAGAGACTCCGAAAAGTTCACTGAGGAGACAGAAAGGTAATTGGGGATGGAACTAATTCCTAAGATCTTGACACATCAATAACCAATACACACTAACAGATTTGCCTGGATACGCACGACCCTCGAAAGAAATTAACAATTAGTCTTTTAGGCGGATAAAGTAGGAGCTACAGTGATAATGGACAAAAACAAAATACTGAGAAGATGGAATATATTCTAAGAGACACGATTATATATTGTAAGATGAAGAAGGACCCAACAATGAAGATCAACGGAAGCTGAAAGATAGGCATTGAAACAGGGAAATTGATATATGGACAAAAAATTAAATCATAAGAAATCATGTAAGACCCCCAAAAGCCTACGGATTATCGAAAATACACAAATAAGGCGATCCAATAAGGCTGATAGTCAACTACAATTATGGAGCAACACACAAATAGGAAAAGTTCATATGTTTGAAACTCACGAAATTAAATGAGAGGTTATCAAACATGGTGAATAATTCATATGAATTTTCTCAAAAAATCAAAAACATGGCACTGGATGAAACTGACTAATTGGTAAGGTTTGTTGTACAATGCATGGATAAAAACATCTCTGGAGAAAATGCGCTAACAGTCCTGTTGGAAATCCTGGACAGAGAGGAGGATATCCTGGAATCAGAAAGGATCAGGAAAGAGTCATTAACACGAATAATCCACTTAACAATAAGGACAGCCTATTTCACATTTAACGGGACCATCTATGAACAAATATTTGGACTACCCATGGGATCGCCGCTCTCACCTCTTTTGGTAAACGAATACACGAACAAACTAGAAGAGAACTTCAAGGTTGATACTGGCGTATCCTTCATTTCGTTTGAGAAGAAGGGTCGAAGGGATTTGTAGATTGGCCTCACCGGATACCGAAGGAGGGTTGCTTTGGCCTTTTGTCTGTTGAATTGTGCGAAGTAGACCTCGACTCACCGTCCTACGACCCCGATGACTCCGTGCTGATCTTTCCTCACTCATTTGACGAACATCGTCAGAGCTAGAAACCATTATTCACGAAAAATCACCAAAAAACACTAAACATAAAAAGGTGGCAAGCTGAGACCCTACTTACTTCCATGATTTGGTTGGCTGACGTATGCTTGTCCTACGTGCATGTAAGTGGGTCAAAGTGATGCAGGCAGAGGAGTGGATCTAGCTACAATTTGTGTTAATATAAATAAACTAGAGTATGATCCAGTAGTTCTGGGTATTGTTACAGCTTCGTGGATGCGTGTTTGCGTATGTTTGCAACAATTCTGAATTAGTTATTTTTTGTATGAAAGTAGAGCTTCGAGATTACCAATAAATCCGTAATATGAGATGTATTCACGCTATCTCGTTTAAGGTGATGAAGGACTGCTAGTAGAATTTTCCCACAATGATATGAGTAGAGTTGACTTTTCCATTGAAGTTTACATTGCCTTGCTTTCTCAAAAGTTGTTCTCATCAAGGCTGTTAATTTAGGGTTCAAAAACTAGCTCCAGCTTAGTCTGGTCTTCTCCTCTTACTCAGTGGCTCTTCCTCTTCCTTTTCCTTATCTCTTTCTTTCTCATCATATTTAGAAGCTAGATATAGTTCTTACTTACTTTCCAACATTCATTTCTCTTATTCAGGAAGTTGTTTGTTTTGTTAATTTCAATCGACTCCCTGATCTTCCGCTTAGCTGTGAAGTCCTCATATCCGTCAAAACGTTGGGATTTAGACCTCTCTATCTGGCCTCCTGTAGCGACCACATTTTCAGCTACTTCCGATTTCTGAATCTATAAACCTTTGCAGGAGGTTTTGTGTTCTGATAGCCTCTTATGGATGGGTTGACAAGTATCCCACACATAAACACCACCGCACGAGCACAAAACCTTATAACAACCTGATCTGCAGAGGGCGTCGGAAGATTCTCTAATAGGAGGAATGCTCGAGGAAAGCGGTATTGTTTCTTTATACCTTGATGGACACTCCACTTCCTCAATAATTCGCCTATTTTTCTTGAAAGCTTGTAGGATGGTAGCATTAGGAACCTGGCCGAAGAGTTGTCTAATTCCTTGTTTTGTACAAATTAATGGTTTTCCTTCACCCTATTTATAAAAATTTTGAAATTTTTCGATAATTAATCTTATAGGATAGCCTTTCTAACTCCTGTTCTTGATTAATTACGTCCTCTAGGCGTTAACTCCTTATTATCATTGATTTCATTACGCCTACCTTAATACCATAATTATGGTTCGAGAAGAAATTAGGAAGTAAAACCCTCATTTGTGTGTTTCCTATATACATCTCTACTCAGTTTGCTTCCTTCTATACTAGCTATAACATCTAAAAAGGGTAACTTATTCTATTTTTCTAACTCCATAATGAATTTAGCCGTCTTGTCTACTATATTTATTAAACTAAGGAAGTCATCCAAACACTCTTTGTCCTGCTGCCAGATAGCAAAGTAATCATCCACATATCTGACCAATAGTTTCGGAACAAGAAGTGACTTGAAAAAGCCGAACTTCCAATTGACTCATGTAGTTATTAGCTGAAACTGGAGACAAATCAACTCGAAGTTATTACATAAACACGCAAACACGCATCTACGAAGCTGTAACAAGACCCAGGACTACTGGATCATACTCTAGTTTATTTATATTGACAAAAGTTGTGACCAGATCCACTCCCTGGCCTGCACCAATTTGACCCACTCGCATGCATGTAGGACAAGCCAAGTCAGCCAACCAAATCATGGAATGCGTCATTAAGATCGCAAAGTGAGGTATAAGAAGTAAGTAGGATCTCAGCTTGCCACCTTTCTCGGTTTAGTGTTTTTTTTGTGATTTTTCGTGAATAATGGTTTCTGGCTTGACGATGACCGTCACATGATTTGTCCAACACAAGGTGTCGTACTACAGTCAGCAGTATCCATGTGGTGCCTGGACGATTACGCCGCACTTTGGTCTAGTGGAAGAGAAAAACTGGAAGTATTTCTGACGTTTATAAGTCAGCTTGATGAAAGTATCAACTTCCCGATGGAAGTAGAGGAGGATGAGCCGTTAGCTTACCTACATGTAGAAGTGATTCGTTCTAATGGGACGTTCAAGAGGAAATTGTTAAGAAAAAAGTCATATGCCGTGACAATACTCAATTTCCAGTCCCACCACATCTACAAGCTAAAGATAGGAAAAATGAGAAGCATGCTCATCTGAAGCCTATGTTTAACGGATGTGGAATTCTGGGGTGAAGAATTGGACAAATTGATCAGGATATCCCTCGGCTATGTTTACCCAAGCGAAGTAATACAATGAGACATACGGGTCACGAAAAACCGATGGTGGAAGGAGGATTACCAAAAAACAGGAAGGAAGGATACGAATTTTCAAAGTGGATATCCCTCCCTTCCTGTCAACTAACTCAAAAACTACGGTCAATATTAAGCAAATGGAATATTCAAGTGGTCATGAAAGAAAGATCAACACTTTTCACAAGTCTACCAAC